CGGCACTGCTCTCGGATATGCAGGAGCTTCAAACAAAACTCACTGAAGGACAACAATCCCTCAAAAGCCTGTCCGAAGACTACATGAAGGCAGTCAACCAGACTCCAGCACCCTCTGAGCTGCCGCTGGTGAAGCTGAACAGATTCCCATGGCAGTTGAACCCTTTGTCCATAGCTTGGGCATCTCTTTGACTGAAGAGCAGAAGAACCAACTGCATGGACTCCCGAAACGACCAAATCAAGATCAGGAGGATCCGACGAAGCGCAGAAAAACTGAGACGGCCTCTCATGTGAAACCAGGACAGTGTGGGTAACATGAGCAATCTCATGTTTCAAGGGTGGGCTTTCCCAGTTCCGGACGATGACATTCTGTCATGTGAAGGCCATGAAAGTCCGAATACGGAGCACAAACTAGATGATTTCACCGTTTTTGAAGCTGCACCTCAGCCACTGGCAGTACTACTACCACCACAACAGGTTTGCCGTGCTGCCTCAGGCTCAGATCAGCAACTTGGGTTTTCAGCTTCAATGGGCGCAGGGGACAATGCACATCATAAAGCTGATCCAAACATCGGGGAGCTCTTTTCTACTGATGATGGGGTTCAATCATACCAAGGTAGACCAGAGCACATGTTTTGCAATTTTGAGGACCATGGCCAACCACCAATTGGCACTAGTGAACCAGTCGACGGGGCGCCGCATGGCAATGCCTTCCTATCCATCTTAGGAGGAGCACCCGAGACAATCGACACTACGGGCAGTTCGCCACAAACAACTCCAGGCATGCAAAACTATGCCACACCCACGGATTGCATCCTCCAGAACCTCACCATGGTGGTTGGCAATCCAGGCCTCAGGTGCTTTGCAAATGCGCCTTGGCGGGCCTTCACATGGGTATGTGCCTTGCTCCAAGAGACAAGCGCACAACCTTGGGGCACACTTCAAGAAGCTGTCCAAGAATCCATTGACGCAGCGGAACCTGTGGACATCCAAGCCCTGACAGGCTTACGAGACCTGTGGAAGAACCATGATCTTAATGTACAAGGAGATGCCAGCCACTTTGTCAATTCTCTGTGGCTGTTGGTTGTCCCAAAGCAGAGCCTTCCACTACAGATTTGCACGAATTCGAGAAGGAGGTTATCTCACTGATCATGTCCAGCAGCCCATTTTGGTGCCATATCCGGACGACTGGCCTGAAGAGGTCTCCTTTCAGCAATTGATCAACAATTGGGCAAACCAAGGAATGGGCCAATACTTGATGGATGACAAGAAGGTCCTAGTCTGTCATGTGACCCGAAACACCTGCATCAATGGCGTGATGACCAAGCATCAAAAGCCTTTCAACCCCTACGGCGCCTTCACTATGCCCAGATCCCTTGATGGATTTGCGCGAACCTCAACAGAGTTTGTGCCGGCAGTGCTCATCTGCCACCGGGGGCAGACCCACCAAGAGGGTCACTACTTTGCCATCCTGATCTATCGAGATCTCATGTGGCTTGCAGATGATGGCAAGGTTCCAACACACCTGCCGAATCTCACTCCCAGCTTGGCCAGTCAGATCAGATCACACAAGTTTGGGCAGTGAGCATTGACTGTTTCAAGACACCTCAACAAGTGCTTCAAGAACTACCACCAGCGGAAGAACCGGACTTCGATCCTCCGCTCCATCCAAGTCCAAAAAAGGGGGCCAGATTTGAACAAGAACACAATATGCTGTACTTTGGCAATGTCACCAACTTTGGCAGGCAGGTCATTGATTGGTACTGGACTAGAGACAGTGGCGTATACATCTTTGCGGAGACCCATCTTGACCCGCAAAAGCACTATGAGATTTGCCAATACTTCAGCATCAGAGGACGAACAGTTTTTGGCACACCGGCTGAACCCAATCAGGATCACACGGGCACTTATGGCGGACTTTTAGTTCTCGCTGATCCAGCTAGTGGCTTGGCACAGTTCCAATCCTACACCAACAAAGGGTGCGGCTTCCAAAGTTTTCTTTGGCAGGCCACGGAGACAACCATCTTGGTGGCAGGCCTGTACCTGCGCACTGGAGAGACATTTCAAAGTGAGACAAACTCAGAGATCTCGGCTAAGCTGCTGGCATTGCTAACTCACACCACACATCCGTATGTGATCGTTGGCGACTGGCAAAATCAGCCCAGTGCACTGGCTAGCGCAGTTCTGCCGTCCAAATTCCAATTTGGCATTCTGGCGCCTGATCACAGTGTGTTGTCAGGCAATACCATTGACTATGCCATCCTGCGCAATACATTGGCTGGCGCTACATCCATTCAAGCAGAATGGGCAGTACCTTGGAGACCACATGCTCTGCTAAAGCTGCAGTTTGACATTGAAGCTGCCACAATGGAGTATCGACAGATGCCCTACTTTCCACCCATGCCGAAAGTTCCTGACATTGACTTTCGCCCCTGGACGACATACCAATCACAGGCCCATGTCATTGAACTTTATGGCGTTCCGCCAAATCAAGCTGCGCAACCATGGGCAGACTGGCTGTCCCGCACCGAACAGTACCTCCTCCAGGAGCACCCTTGGGCGGCGCAGGGGAGAGGGTACCACCTGCAGGCAGTCACAAAGCCAATGATGATGCAGCCAAAAGGTCACACCTGGCGAAAAGGAAAGCCAGCCTTTTGGGACCAACTCAGAGCTGTTTTTCACTTGGCACTTCAACAACCACAGACTGCCAACACTGGCCCGGTCAAAGGTTTCATGAATAGGATCAGACAAGTACATCAGCAATGGGTCGGACCACCCACATGGGGGCAATTTCTTGATACATCTCACCACTGGCGCAGATATAGAGATCCTCATGCAGCTGAACTATTACCTCAAACGATCGCCCATCAACTCCAAGAAGCGCAACAAGCTCATGAGGAAACCGCCTTGCAGTACCGCCAATGGCTTCAAGAGGGACACCAAAAAGGCTTGAAGGGCCTTTTTCGAAGTTTGAAGAGCAGTGAGCTTGCCTGGGAGAGACCATATATCGAATGACACCGATGCCACAAAGGATGAATCAACGTCTTGCAGATTGGGGAGGGCTTTGGAAGATCCGACAGGACAATGCACCCGGCCCACGGCCCAGTCTACAACAACTGGCACAACAACAGGCACAATCCCTTGAGCCTCTCACGCAAACATTGCTGCAAAGAGCACTCAAGGCACTCCCTGATAGAGCCAGTGGCCCAGATGCAGTATCCACACAAATGCTGAAGTCCATCCCACCGTTGGCTTTGACACCGCTCTTGCAGCTGTTCCACAACATGGAGCGCACGGCAGAACTACCTACACAGCTGCAAATGCATCTTGTGGTCATGCTGCCAAAAAACCAAAAGCTGGAGCGGCCCATCACACTCACGCCCACCCTCTGGAGGCTGTGGTGTCGACCCAGGAAACCGCTCCTGGACAGATGGCGACAAAATTGCCGGCAAGCATGAGTCATGACAGAGCTCGTCCAGGAGCTAACGCCCTTCATGTTGCCCTTGAACGTCTCTTACGACAAGAAGTCACAAAGCAAGACAGCAGCATGGCATCACAGTGCTCATGGACATGTCCACCTTCTATGACACCATCAACCTTGCCAGGTTGCAGGAGGAAGCGCTTGGTCTGGAATATCCACCACTCATGCTGGAACTTGCAATGCAGGTCTACTGTGGCCCCAAAGCCATTTTGGCTGAACAAGAGATAACACCGTTCTTTCACGTTGATCATGGTGTGCCTGCTGGATGTCCCCAAGCTCCACTTCTGGCTAAGGCAGTATTAGCTCCAGCACTGATACCATGGAAGGAACAACATCCAAAGGCAAACTTGTCCAGCTGGGTTGATGATGTTGGCTTTGACCTCACTGGAACTACAGCCATGCAGGTGGCCCAACAGGCTGTTGAAGCTTACCGGAATCTCCATCAACGACTCACAGAGCTGGGCCTGAAAGTCAATCCCAAGAAAACGGCCTTTATAGCCACAGACCGCAGCACTGAGCATGCCTTGAAAGGACTACTACAAGAACATGAACCGCCGGTGTCCACAGTGACGCGTGATTTGGGAGTAGATCATCAGGCTGCCAGAAGACGAAGGATCCCGGTTCTCAGGCAGAGATTCCAGAAGGCTAAGCAGCGCAAGATCAAATTGAGGTCTTTGAAGATTCCTGCTCTGAAAGTTCGGCTCCGCCTCCACAAAGGAGGAATCCAACCGGTGGCACTTTGGGGCATTGAATCGCAAGGGCTTGCGCCCAGATACAGAACAGCCCTCAGACAAGCCCTGGCCACTCACTTGGGTCATCATTCAAAAGGGCTTTTGGACAGTACGTGTGACCTTCACAGCCACAGGTACATTGACCTGGCTGATCAAGTCATCTTGCACCACATCAAAGCTATGCACACTCTCTATCACAACTGGCCACCAGAACAGATCCAGCACTTGGAACAAGCATGGACGGAGATCTACAAGCAGCTACAACAAAAACAACATCCATGGTATGTGGTGAGAGGACCTATGGCAGCCACCGTTGCCTATCTGATGGAGTGGCGCTGGCAAGTCCAAGACATCCATCGATGGCAGAGGCAGGGCGGCCCCTACATGGTTGAGAATGAGATCACAATCCAAGATCCTTGGTGGAAGCTAGAGCGTGCCTTGCAACGCACTGCCAGGCTGGCCAGCAAAGCAAACCATCAACGCCTGGTGGCAGGCATTGATTGGCACGTCTATCGGCAGGTGATCAGAGCTATTCCTGGGGAGCACAAACCACATCTACCCACATGGACTCAGGCGGCTCTCCATTTCAAAGCAGATGGCAAACCCAAAGACTGCCCCATTTGCCGGGTACCGGCGACCACGAAGCACATCTTCTAGCTGTGTAAATGGCGCCAGACCCAAAAACACAAACCAATGCCACCAGAGTGGGCCGAGCGCATCTTGTCAGAGGACGAGACACCTCTATGGGCGGCAGGCTGGATCCCCCTAGAGCCACAGGAGGCAAAACGCATGGTGCACCAGTACCAGGGCCACGGGGCTTGGAAGGACCTGCGACCACTTGCACCACATCAATACCAAGGGTGGGCTTTCACCCTCGATGCCACGCCGTCGAGCTATGATCAGAGAGATCAGCTCTGGATCTTCGGGCTTTGCGCCCACACAATGACCTTGAAGTGGCTTTCAATGTGGGGCATGTGGTGTTCGTGTCCATCAGGCACTCACTGTCCAGATCCTTGAAGAGCGCCTCAATGAAGAATGTCCGCAGCTCAGCATCGAAGAACGCCTGCCTGAACCAGACAGTCCCCACCAGCCCCTGCCCAAGAAGAAGACCAGGCAACAAGTCCTCAAGCAGCTTCTGCAACAACAGCAAGAAGAAGCTCCCCCACAGCACAGGCACGAGTTTGAAGAGACGGCAGGATATCTACGCTGTGTCAAATGTGGAGCCAATGTCCACAAGAGGAGCAATGAGCAGGTGTTTCAAGCCTTTGCGCAAGGCCAATGCTTGGACCAGCCATACACTGCCACCCATGAGGGACACGCCAGTCATGCACTATGGCAGAAGAGGAGGCAAAGTCACATGCGCGCAATGCGGATTGAATCTGCATTTGGATGGTCAACAACGGCTCATCCTCACAAGTGAAATAAAAAAGCCCTGCAAGGGCTCCGGCATCAGTGGATCACCACCACTGACTGAGATCTTCCGCAAGCAAGCTGAACAAGCATCCCAACAAAAAAGTGCTGGGGACTCCACGAGTGACACCAGCCACACCACACAGCAGGCACCACCAGCCTTGCAGGAGAAGTCCAAGAAACCAAGACTTCAACATCAGCAGCCGGCAGAACATCATGAGCCCTACCTCAAGGGTCAAAATCCCACACCACGGCGGTTGCATTTTCCAACTGAGCTGGATCAACAAGCTCAGGGAACAACGGCAACACGCCAGCGCAGGCCATGAAACCCAGCCCAGCAGGTCCTTCTGGCAGTGAACCGGGCACCAGCCCACAAGACACAGGCCAGCAGGAAGATGAAGAGATGCCATTCATGGTAGACTTCTTTTGAGAGACCAGCCGGCTCCCAGTGAGGCACCTGTCCGAGCGGACCCGCCACAAGAGCACACAAAGCCCAACCTTTAGGAGAAAACTACATACATACATACATACATACGTACCTACGTACGTACGTACGTACATACAGTACATACAGTACATACAGTACATACAGTACATACAGTACATACAGTACATTACATTACATTACATTACATTACATTACATTACATTACATTACATTACATTACATTACATACATACATACATACATACATACATACATACATACATACATAC